TTAATATGTCCACCGCGTGGTGACATGCAATAATTGATGATGCATTTTTTAAACATATTAACATCACCACTAAATGCATGTGACGGCATATTAACATGTGTCCACGTAGGTAGGCGAGCATTTATAGTGAAGTGCCCTCGCCTAGGTTTATCCAACTCTGATTCTTTGCCTCTCTCTCTCTCTTCCCTTTCACCCGGTGTTATCCTTTTTCTAGTTTCTATATTTAGTCTTTTCTATCTAAAAAAAAACCATACACGCAAAATTTTGTAATTGGAAGAGAACTCGCACAAGAATCGACTTCCCCACAAATTTCAACCATTATTTAGTGCTCCTTTCGTTCTTATCTATTACTCCTTATTTTTTTTTATAACTCTTTTTTATTTTTTCTTTTGTGTTTTTCTTGTTTATTCTGTAAATACTCTTGTCAATATTCATTTGCTTTCAGTAGTCTGTAATTAGAATTTTGTTCCAGAAGCTATGGCGTTGGTTGAAGCTTTCTTGGAGATTCTGGAAAGGCCCACAATCTGGTCAATGGTGCTAGGGTTGATACAGATTTTAGGGCCTGTTTGGATAGCGTTTTTTCTGGGTGTTGTTGTTGGTTGGGCCTGGAAACCTAGGTGGAGTAGTTTAGGAAATTGTAAATTTGAATCTTCAGCACCACCTTCGCCTTCAGCTTCGATTTCAGCGAATGCCCATAAAAGCTTGGATTTAAGCAGAGATGGGTCTGCGAGTTTTGATTCTTCTGTGTTGGATAATGGATTGGGGAGTGAAGATGGGATGGCTTTGCCGGTTGTAGAGAATGGTTCCGATTTCAGGTGAAATATCTTTAGCGTTTTAAGCAATATTTCATTTTGTTGTTCATTTATATAGTTAAAGGCTTTCACCATTTTTTTCAGAATCATATGTTAGAAGTAAAGGTTTGCATGATAAAATAGTATTAATATTAATTGTTCTGTCTTTTATTTTATTTTTATCACATAGAACTATCTGATGTTTGATTATTATTCTTGTATGATTGAAAACAAGAGCTTGTTCTTGTTCAAATCCCACCTTTGTGTCCAGCCAAGTGAATAAAGTGACATTTATGTATTGGCTTTCATGTAATTGGAGAAACTAATAAGAGACCTTATGGTGCTGCATAAACTTAAGTTGTTAATTCCAGTTTCAGGTTTCAAACATGTATTACCCGTTGTAACGTCTCCTTCAAACTTCGATATCTTTGCGGAGTACACAAAATTTTCAAGATATTTAAGATGTATATGTTAGTGATGCAGATTTGCATGTAGTACTTGGGGAGCATTTGCAAGTGCTTAAACAAAGTGATGTGTTTGTTTGCAATGGACATAAGTAGTTTCAATACTTTCAGTTTCAATTTTGTTACGTAGCATAGTTCAATTATAATATGAAAATAAGGTATATGTAAATTTCGTGTTCCTCTCATGTTGGAGTTTACTCGCAATAACCACACTTTTCTAAGTTTCAGCTTTTTCACAAGTGTGTATTGCTTTTAGGCCGTCTGAGTTAGGAAAAGAAGTTTTTGGGGCCTCTAGGCTCGTCACATATGAGGATTTGGAACAATTATGCCGTCTGGTTGAGAGAAAAGATGGAGGGCCCTCTTGGAAGCATGTGATGGATCGCTCAACTCACAGTATGAGCTATCAAGCATGGCAAAGGGATTCTGAGGTATTGCAGCAAAATGCTGCTGATGTTTCCCTATATCAATTTTTTTTTTTTTTTTTTCCTATCTCGATCTATCTTATCTTCCTTTTTATGTTTCTCAGCCAGCGTGAGAGAGAGAGAGAGGGTTTATCCTTTTTTTTTTTTTTTTTGTAGTGATCATAAACCTTTTGTTTACAAATTACGAAAATTTCATCTTAGGTTAACTTCTTATAACAAAAAGAACAGCTAATTTTCACTTGACATAACCAATACCCCTCTTGATATGATCTGTTTCTTTTCTTCGAATACGCATACTTATGTGTCTTCATAGGTTACGAGTAGAACTGTTTAAGTGGATTTTGTATTTATCCTTGTAGACTGTTTAAGTGGATTTTGTATTTATCCTTGTTTTGCACTTGAATTATATGTGTATGTGTGCTTGTATGTGCGTTTATTTAGTGTTTGATTTCTTCTCAGGATGGGCTCCCTCAGTATTGTAGCAGAACAGTTTACGAGGATGCAACTCCCGAATTATTAAGAGACTTCTTTTGGGATGATGAATTCCGACTGGAGTGGGACGACATGCTCATAAATGCTTCGATTTTGGAAGAATGCCCTAACACAGGAACTATGGTAGTTCATTGGACACGTAAGGTCAGGAAAAAGGATTTCATAATGCCACATCCTTTACTGTCTAAGTTTCCTAATATTTGTCGTTACTGATATCAGACTTTTTTGCTGTGTGTAGTTCCCATTTTTCTGCAGTGACAGAGAATACATAATAGGACGTAGAATATGGGATTCGGGAAGATCATATTACTGTGTGACTAAGGTAAACCACTTGTGACAGCATTATTTTTATTGTTTTTCCCATTCTTTATATTCCCTTTTAAAAACAAATCAGGTGCTGTTATGGAACTCTTTCGATTGTGTTGGCTAAAGTAATCTATCATGTGTATCAAAAGTTCCTTATCTCAAATGTATGGTGATGAGTGATGAGAACTTTTCTGTAATACTTATCTGTGACATAGTAACTAAGTATCTAAAGTTTTTCCTAGAAGGCTAAAAGGTGAATGTGAATTTTGAACATTTTTACTGTCAGCTCTCGTGTTACTACATTCGTGTGCAAATATTTTATATTTTTCTTTCTTACAAAATTCGAGTTTGATGATTCCTTTGTTTACTTTTTCCTTTTACCAGGGAGTCCCATGTTCTTCTGTTCCTAGGAGGGACAAACCGAGACGAGTTGATCTCTTCTATTCAAGTTGGTTTATTCAAGCAGGTCGAGAGAAGCTTTCTTTTAAATATCTTATTTTTTCATAATCAACAATGCCTAATTAATTATTTTATTCCAGGAAGCTCGTCTTGATTTTGTGCTGACTGCTGAATGCTAAAAATAGTGTTTGATAAAACAAATATCTATTGTGGTTTGGTCTAATTATGTCAGTACCCCCATTATCTTTAAAAACAGACACCCCAAAGATTGTGAACCGTTACTATTATTCTTGTAACTAAAAAATTAGAAAACGAGGAAAAATGGGAAGAGTTGCTTTGTTTGATATTTTTACTGATTAAATTGGTCATTTACATACATATCCAATGCAGTTGAGTCGCGTAAATCCAACAGTGCATGCGAGGTCATTCTGTTCCACCATGAGGACATGGGTATCCCGCGCGAGATTGCCAAGTTTGGGGTTCGGCAGGGCATGTGGGGTGCCGTGAAGAACATCGAGCGTGGCTTCAGGGCCTACCAAAAGCACCGAGCCTCTGTCCCGCCTTTATCCCACCATGCATTCCTGGCAGGAACCAACACGAAGCTCGACCCCAAGGCCTTGGAAGACGAGAGGAAAGTAGTAGTAGAATATGGGGACGATGATGAGAAGCGAACTCCGAAAGGAGTGAATTTACCCAAGCTGTTGATAATTGGAGGGGCAGTTGCGGTTGCCTGTTGTAGCCTCGACCGAGGGCTCTTGACTAAGACGCTCGTATTTGGTGTGGCACGCAGGTTTGGAAATATCGGGAGGAGGGTTGTGGGGCCCACTTGAGTGTGCATTAATAAGCTCAAGAAAATGGTCCCGATATGATGAATTTTGAGCCGAGTGTATACGTATTTTACTTCACCTCATACTTGTTACCATTTTGTTTTCTAAAGTTCAGCATTCTTATAAGGGTGTGTCGCGGCCTCCTTGGAAGTAGCTACGTGATCAGGAAAATGAATATGCTTCTTCATGAGCTTTCGTTTGGTTATTTTGTTTTCTTGCTGGAAATGGGGTGAATGTGTTTTTGCTTATACCACACTACTACACTCACGCTAATCCCACATGAATCTTTTAGTAAGTACATTTACACTCATGCTCCCTTCTGCACGCACGCACTCCTAGAGTAGAGTATCTCTATCAATTAAGGTTATGGAGTATCTTTATCAATTAAATTCCATGAACTTACTTTTACATTTCTCAACATGTCATATCATTTTAAATACTATTTCTAATTTTGCACCTATAAACATTATTCTTAATTGATCGGCCTACCAATGTGCTCACCAAACTCACATCCGTACTTGGTAATTTTCCAAAGTTCGAAATACTATCAAGCTTGATACAATTTTATGAACTCGGCTTGCCTTTGAGGTCTAATATTTTTGTTAAGAATATTTTATCGTTTGACATGTAGCTCAGGTCTCCAATTTTAATTCTGTACTTGGGAATAATTTCACCATTAGGATTATCTTATAGAACCGACCTGGAGGCCAAGCTTGGGTGACTTTGGCGCACGCTGAGGCAGTGGCATTGGGATGTTTTGGAGACCTCTTTCAGCGCCATTCTGTAGCTCAAAGTGCATATGCTGACGCGGAGCGCGCTTATGATATGGATCTCATTCTGGAGAATAGGATTGTGATGTGCTGCTGCCATGCCGAGTACTAGCTTCGACCATCCCTTGGTGATAATATCCTTTTGGTCCAGAAGATGATCTACGTCTCTCATGTGAATCGGTTGCGAATCCGAAACTTGCGCTTAAGTTAGACATGGCTAAGGTCAGGGGCGGACGCAGACTTTAAGAACAACGGGGGCACAAACTCCGGTCAACAGTCATTGTCGTAGGTTAACGGTCAACTCATTATTTAACCAATTAAAAAATAATAAGATTAAATCTTGACAAACACTTTATTTCTTATTTAATAGATAGGGTTGGGTCTTATATTTTCATTTTAAGAATACTGACACATTTGATCGAATCCCTATATAATATATACATTTATGTACAATAATTTTTTTTATATGTATTTTAGGAAGAAAAAGGAAATAAAAAAGAAGTTGAGTATAACGCATAAATTCCACAAGTTAAAAAAAAACATACCATTGAAGGTTAATAATTCTAAACATTTCTTTTTATTTTTTATGTTGAAATAACTTCTTTTAATAATTAATATGTATTTTTTATGTTAATTAATACATTTATACATAATATATATACTAGTACAACACCCGTATTACATGGGTGCTTGTTAAAAAATTATTCTGAAATTTTACAATTAATGAGAAAAATTATTTTAAATTTTATTTATTTTTTACATAAAAATATATATTATTATATAGTTTAGAATGACATTTGTTACTTGTGTGACTTACGTGTGTTATATTATAGTAATTTTTATAACTTATATTAATGCAAGTGTGCACGTCCTGGCCCGGTTTGGGGTAGATCGATTCTTGTCCTCACCGGTAGAACGCCGGAAACCTGCAAATAACTCTCATACCGGGGGTTGTGTCCGGTGAAGAGCCTCCGATGCTTAAGTCAGTATGTGTATGAGTATAATGAAGTGATTAACGGGAAAATCGTGTTAAGGGAGAAAGGCTCACCCCCATTTATATATGGGTGAGATATCTGCCCTAATAGCTGCCCGGATAAGGATGAGTTGGCTGCCCAAGCTGCCCGTCCGTACTCTGACACGCCGCGCAGATGTCAGAGGTGGCGCGGGGCGTTGGGAGTAGGGGTGCGCATTATTCGGATAAAACCGAAAAAACCGACTGAACCGAACCGAATAGTGTTGTTCGGTTCGGTTTTTTTATTTCCTAATTCGGTTCGGTTTCATTTTTTAAAAAAAACGGTTTATTCGGTTCGGTTCGATTTTCGAAAAAATAAATTCGGTTTAACCGAACCGAACTGAATTTATGTTACTAATTAGTAAACTTTAATAGTAGTGGTCCATTGCCCAATCCAATAGCTAAATAATATAAATCAAATTTTAGAATTTAGATATGTATGCCAATTCATACCCCAACAACTAAATAATATAATCATATTTTAGATTTTAGAGAACTTGTGATAAAAAT